TAATTCCGCTCTCTCATGTCTTATGATGTATATCTATAGTTGATATGGTCACTGCATCCATAGACAGTAAAGTAATACATTTCAACATTGAATTAATGGAGTTTTGATTATCCTGCTGTGAGGATAATTTGCTGCCCTGTAATTCTGAGTACTGCACTTAACCCTGACCTGTCTCTGTGTTTGGAAACTCACAAAACAATAGCAGCCAGGTCAATGCTGACTGCCACCAATTACCGGAGAGTTCATTGGATTAAATGTATGAGGTGTCGGTGATGGACAGTCCAGTTACATTGTAAATGACTGATATAATTCAAGTTTTTATAATGACTGATGATAACAGAGACCCTCGGCATGTTCTGCAACCGACCCAAAATAATAATGTCTTCTTCATGATATTTTCTACTTCTATTGTATGATGGGTTTCCATACTTTGTTTCTTATTTCTTGAAGCTAAACTCTGGTTATATAGTCATAAAAAAAAAAAAATATATTAGTACACAATGTCAGTATATTACATATATCTCTCAGTACATGTTTTCCTAGAATATAAGTCAAGCCCCAAGTGTTGACTCTCCCACAAAAGATGCTTTTTTTTAAATTCCATAAGGTGAGAGTTGGTAATCCTGACTTGCTCCATTGGTTCATACTATGGGTGAATGTTTATGACAGGTCCACTTTAGAATGTGTGTATTTCTTTACAGCGATAAGAGTGGTGGTATCGCCATCTGCGGAAGTAGAAGAGGGGAAAGAAGTCAGTCTGACTTGTGTGGCTACAAGAGGCTCTGAGAAGGGAAGCGTTTACACCTGGTTCAAGAATGACAAGTGGTTGAGGGAGGACTCAGAAGGGAACAGCCTCACGTTCCGCAGAGTCTCAACCCAGGATTCTGGATTCTATTACTGCAGAGCCCACAATACTCAGGGCAGCAGCACCTCACGGCCAGTGACTTTACACGTCTTATGTAAGTAATGCTTCTCTCCACTCCCAATACAAGCCGAGGAAGTCACAGACAGTGCTACTCTTCTATATGAAAAACACAAAGCAGCTACAAGCTTGTAAAAAATGGTAATTTGACCAGACAATGGTATGTCTATATACAAGCATATGAGCTATGTTTTATTGGTCATGTTAAAACTGATCTCTAAGCAGCATTTGACATGTTATGCACCTCTTAAAGTCCTTGTACAGCAGGGAAATGGATTGGGAAATGGAGAAGCAGCACAAAGCAGGGAAATCAGCAGGGAAATCAGATTGGGAAATGGAGAAGCAGCACAAAGAGCCAATCATGTGTGCTGCAGTTTATATGTACTACAATGAAACACACTTATAGGAGGAGACAGCAGAGGACAGCGTGATGAGCTCATCATTGCTTCTCCTTTCCCTGTCCAGTCACAGGCTGGGGGAGGGACAAGACCTATAAATGTTATATAATTGCAGCAGCCCTGCCAAGCAGGGCTATGCTGTGTGGCAGGGCTGTGTAAATCTCAGAACTGATTGGACAGAAATACAAATCAGACAAAACAACTTTCATGCAGGTAATGTATCCATGTATTCACCTGTTTGCTTGGAGCTTAACAGTTTTATACTAGTTACTTCTAATTTATCTAGTTACAACTACAGCAATAGAGCTAAAATGGGGGGTGAGGATGGGGGGGGGGTGGAATCCCAAAAAGTGTTTGTTGTTGTTTTTTTTTACTATTCTTCGTTAATAGGGCAGGCAGTTTTCTACAATTGCCCCGGGTTATGCTATGGCCGAGCTTATATACAAAGCTACTTAGCCATGATCTTGTTTTCAAAATCAAGGTAGTGTACGTATACCCCACCATTTGTTTCAGTTTTAGACCTTCAGTCTGTGTGCTGTTTCCTCAGATTTTACCTTTTTTGTCTGCACCAGGGACGCAGTAGTAAGTAAATGAACCCAAATTGAGGGGAAAAATCCCCTCTTAGACAACCATCATCAGAATAGGTGGCCAGATGGGGCGATTCCTTCTCTATTCATGTTTCTGTGATAACCACAACATTTTGGATTCCCTATCATTTTCTGTACCAGTGATAAAGGTCACCAGGACAAGTAGAAAGGGTGAATCTCGTTAGTAGGAGCAAAGATGGTTAAAAAAAGTATTAATATATTCTCTTTCCAGGTCAAATGTAATATCAGGAAAATACCACACTGTGGCCACTGGATGGAGATGAGGAGCATAGCAAATGAACACTTCTTTCCTGTGCTCCTTAGCTCCATCTAGCAATGCTTTTTCAGATTTCGCATCTGAAATTTGATTCGGTTTGTTATTTGGATTTTGGATTCGTCCAAATTTTCATTTCGGAACAAAGTCACATGACCGTGTTTGTAATGCAACCCCCAACAGCCAAAAAAAACCCCATCTGATTGGCCAAGCAACGGTCACATGTCAGATTTAGTTTCGTTTTGAACAAAATTTCAAATTGCAAAAGCCAGTAGCAGGGTTGCTACTGCACCCACCCACTGAGCAGAGGAGAGGAAGTGAGAGGCAACTTTCTTTCTCAGGTCCGCTCCTCTTTTCAGTGGGTGGGTTTTCAACATCCAGTCTGCTATTGCCTATTTCAAATTAAATTGCATCCAGCTGCTGCCTGCGGAATATATCTGGCAGGAGAATGGGGTCACCCCCGGGAAAACGGGGGGATTGGGGGTTTAGCGCCGGGTGGAGAGCTAGGGGGTGCAGTAGCTGGTCTTGCCTAGGAGGCAAAATGGTCTAGCACCGGTCCTGTATATATATATTGTGGCAGTGCAGGGCAATGCCACGGCATAGTAGGGCAACATTGGCACACAGGACTCTTTTATTGTTATTGTTATTGTTATTATGATGATTATTATTGTTATTATGATTATTATTAGTATTATTATTATTATTATTATTATTCAGGATTTATATAGTGCCAGCAGTTTGTGCAATGCTTGTGAAATGATTCTTTTCTTTTACAGAATTAATAAAGTCTACTTCTTTCTCCCAGATCCCCCCAGACACCTCTTGCTAACATCACTTGTGTCAAGCCATGACCCGCTGACGGCCATTATCCTGTGTACAGTGGACAGTGATCCTCCGTCACTATTGTTCCTATACAGAGAAGATACACTGGTAGCTGCCAGCTCGAATGTTCATTCCAACCAGAAATTCAAAATTCTGTCTTCTACCAACTCCTTACAACTGGAAATCAAGAATGTTGTACTGGAAGATGAGGGGATCTTTACCTGCATGGCAAACAACACATACGGCTCAATAGCTTCTACAATACAATTCAACGCACCAAGTAAGCCTACACAGTCCGGATTGTTGACTTTAAGAGACTTGATTTTCTGTGCTGTGATCTTGTAGAATAAGAATGTGAAAAAGACACAATGTTGATGTTTAAAAGTTGTGAGGGGTTATTCACCAAGCTGGCAAGGGCAGCTGAGTGAATAACCGAGCCGAAGTGAAGTGAGCCGAACGCTGTTCGGCTGTTCACTTCAGTCTTGTACGGCTGATTTCAGCCGTACATCGGCTGCCTTCAGTCGGCTGAGCCGAAGTGCAGAAGGACTTCGACTCAGCTGATCCAACATCTGAATCGGCTGAGCCAAAACTCCGGGAGCTCACTTGCTGCCGTTCACCCCCATTCTCATAGGGGCTGGATGGCAGTGAGTGAATAGCCAAATGCCGTCGAGCTGCATTCAGCTCGGGTATTCTGCTCCCTACCTCCGAGGTACCAAGCAGAATAGAAAATAAATGAAAAGAATGGAAAAAAAAAAAGTTAAGAATTAATTTAAAAAATTTAAAAAAATAGGAAAATTAGAAAAGAAATAAAAATATTTTCAAGAAAAGAAAAACAAATTACAAATAGAAAATAATTAAAAATAAATGCCGCATGCCAACCCGACCGCATGCGACGGACTCCCGCCACATGACAAAGCATCTGACAGATGCCGGCAAAAGAAAAACAATTGGGCGGACCTAGCAGTGACAGCTAACTCCGCCCAACTGTTTCCTATTGGTCGGCACCTGTCAGAGTCTTCTAGCAGGTCCCGGCCAATGAATAACAACTGGACGGAGCTGGCTGTGAGATTGCGGCTGGCTCTGCCCAGCTCTCATTTGCATGGAGATCGGTTGGCTTCGGACAACTGTTCTCCGCATTTAGGGTGTCACTACGGCTCAGCTGAGCTGAAGCATATGCGTTCTGCTCCGCTGCCTTCAAGTGTTATGCGGGCTATTGTGAATAGCCCGTACAGCAGCCCTTCCGGTGGCTGAAGAGAGCACAAATGATCAGCCGAAGCTATGGCTGAATCCTTCGGCTCTTTAGAGAATAACCCTACTAGTTTCCTGCAGATTCTGCTGGTCCCCTGAGCACTGGTCCTGATAGCCTGTTCTTAGGGTGGCTCCTTTCCCTTGCAGGGTTCTATGGAGCCATCCTTGTGTGTATACTGTATACAATATGACCAGAAAACATACTGTAAAGGTTAATACTGAATTTAAAATGTTTCAATTGTTTCAAATGATCTCAAAGTGTGAAAAAGGCAAAACCTGTATTTCTGTTTGTTTATACAGCGGCAAAAATTATAGTTTCTCCATCCACGTATGTACAAGAAGGGCAAAACGTTACCCTCTCCTGCTTCTTGACATGCTCCTCAGACACCGGAAATGACACCTTCAGCTGGTATAAAAATAATGCTCTGCTCACAGAAGAACAGGAGGCTGTTATACACTTTGAACATATCACCAGTTCAGATTCTGGGTCCTATTACTGTGAAGCATGGTGTGGTGAGAACAGCAAGATCTCCGCCCCCGTCAGACTTCAGGTGGCATGTAAGTACGAATATCTGATCAGACAAAAAAATATATACTTGGCCTAGATGTGTGGAAAGTTGTCATACACCAATCGTTTAGGGAAAGTGAAAACTCATAAAATATTCCAATAAACATATTTTGAATAAAAATAAAATAAATATTACAGTAACAAATAAAATAATATTAAAATAATACATAAATATTAATATATATGAATGCTTAGCGCAAGGAAAATATATAAAAAATACCCAACAATATTTTTATAATTGTTTAGCTATATTTTTTTACAAAGAACTGGAACTTGTGATGTGATATCAGCCCTGGGTAAGTCCATGTACAGCAACACGTAGACGAAGAAAGGGAGGGGCAACACTAGCAGCCAATCAGGCCCTGCTGTTTGCACATGTGCTGACAAGAAACATGATGGCGGGGGGAGAGAGCAAGTGTGCTGCTGCTCCCTCCCTGTGTAATCAGCAGGCTGAGATGTGTTATTGATGAGGCCTATTCTCATCAGTCCCTTTCCCTCAAAGGAGCTCACAATGTAATGTTCCAACTACATTCAGAGACACACAAATGCCAATCCAATCCAAGGAAATTTTTTTGGGATTGTGGGGGCAACTAGCCATCCAAAGAGAAATTGCCCACTATGCTGCCTCTGCCTGTGCTCGGGCCTGTGTAAACAAACTTTGGGTTTGTGTTGATGGCATCTGTTTGACATGAGGTTTAGACACATCTGAGATCATTTGGAATTAATCAAATGCAGTTGACTTCCTTTTTGATGCATCTCGCCTGCTTCAAACTGACTGACAAAATCTGCATGGGGAGGGTAGAGGTGAAATTCAAAGTCCTAGGTATAATGCAGCTCTGTGTTACCCACATGTGAAAATGAATAGCCATTGGCAGGGTGAAATGTAGGTAATGTTGCCCTTGGAAAATGATTTATGGTTGTAAGTAGGGATGAGCTCAGGTGCAGACCTCACTCATATGGGGCCCTAGAATCCTCTGTGTTCCTCTCAACACAGAAGCTACATAGGCCTCCCACCCAATCAGCTGCAGTTTACCACAGGATGCTTGTGTTGACATCATTTACCATATATAGCCACATGACCGTATAAGGTAAATTAAATTTACCTAATACAGCCATGTAGCCATGTAAGGTCAATATCTGTACACCCCATCCCTTTGTTTGCATCAAGCAGGGAATTTCCCAACCATAGCTGATTGGGCAGCATGGAATGGGGCTTCCGCCCAGGTTCCAGAGGAGCTCCTCCCATGTTCAGAGGAGCTCAGGTTCAGACCAGATTTGGTCTGAACCTGAGCTCATCCAAGTTCTAGGTCATACGTTATTTTCGCACTGCAGAATCTGAACACTAGCATTTTTAAAGGCGTATAGCTGGTTTCCTTCCATGATTGTACTATTTACAATGGTTCAGGTCACTGCAATATCATGAAATGCTGGAAATAATTATTATATGCTTCACTAATGGTGGAATGACATCACTAAGTGCTTATGTGCTAATATTAGTTTCTTTTTATTAAAATAATTTGGCTTGCTAGAATGGCTTTGCAAAAAGATGTTACTGAACAAATTGTGTTTCCTGGTTCCTTGGAATGTCATGTTGTGTAACATAGAGACAGTTAGCCTGCTTGTTCTACAGTAAAGTATCTGGGAGTCTGGAGGTTGGTCAAGCTGATAAAGTGACCAGATAACGGAAGTGAAAGTCTCTTGTAATTACTGACGTGCTCCTTTTACAAACTGAATGATCTAATATGTGAAATGTTTATCGTTTGGAAAAGTCCAACATGACAGATTTCCAGAATTGGAACTTATAAACCTCCCATTTGGTCAAGATGTCAGATTCATGGTACATCTATCATGTCTAAAGATCTCCACAAAGGTTCATTCCTCTTCTTTCCAATCTTTACCTTTACCTTATAACTCTTCTGTTCTGACTAAAGTTTCAAAAGCTTCACCGTGAGCAGAGGTTGTTGATTTCCTTGTCAGATTAATAGTTGTCCTTTATTGTCCTATGTACATCAGATGCTCCAAGAGGTATACAGTTCAGGTCCTTCCAAGAGACTAAAGAGAGACGAACGGCTTTTATACGCTGTACCGTAGACAGCTACCCTATGGCTGAGATGTTGTTGTATAAAGGAGACCAGCTTGTAGCATCTAGACCCACTGCAGACTCTTCCAATGAGCGGATCACAGTCTACGCGGTTCACAATGAGTTGACTCTGAATATTAATAACATCAGGATGGAGGATGAAGGAATGTACAACTGCTCTGCCAGAAACTCCATCGGATCTTCCTCAGAGACTTTACATTTCATTGCTCAGAGTAAGTTTGTATCAAGCTACTTTATGAAATAATTGTTCTTCTTATCTGCTCTATCTTCCTGTCCCGAGATAATCTTGTCTGCTCTATCTTCCTGTCTCAAGATAATCTTGTCTGCTCTATCTTCCTGTCTCAAGATAATCTTGTCTGCTCTATCTTCCTGTCCCGAGATAATCTTGTCTGCTCTATCTTCCTGTCCCGAGATAATCTTGTCTGCTCTATCTTCCTGTCCCTAGATAATCTTGTCTGCTCTATCTTCCTGTCCCAATATAATCTTGTCTGCTCTATCTTCCTGTCCCAAGATAATCTTGTCTGCTCTATCTTCCTGTCCCGAGATAATCTTGACTGTTCTATTTTCCTGTCCCGAGATAATCTTGTCTGCTCTATCTTCCTGTCCCTAGATAATCTTGTCTGCTCTATCTTCCTGTCCCAATATAATCTTGTCTGCTCTATCTTCCTGTCCCGAGATAATCTTGTCTGCTCTATCTTCCTGTCCCGAGATAATCTTGTCTGCTCTATCTTCCTGTCCCTAGATAATCTTGTCTGCTCTATCTTCCTGTCCCAATATAATCTTGTCTGCTCTATCTTCCTGTCCCAAGATAATCTTGTCTGCTCTATCTTCCTGTACCGAGATAATCTTGTCTGCTCTATCTTCCTGTCCCAAGATAATCTTGTCTGCTCTATCTTCCTGTCCCGAGATAATCTTGTCTGCTCTATCTTCCTGTCCCGAAATAATCTTGTCTGCTCTATCTTCCTGTCCCAATATAATCTTGTCTGCTCTATCTTCCTGTCCCGAGATAATCTTGACTGTTCTATTTTCCTGTCCCGAGATAATCTTGTCTGCTCTATCTTCCTGTCCCAAGATAATCTTGTCTGCTTTATCTTCCTGACTTTGCAGAAAGATGTTACTGGAACAAATTGTGTTTCCTGGTTCCTTGGAATGTCCTAATGTTGTCTGCTCTATCTTCCTGTCCCGATATAATCCACTTATTCTGGCGTGATCTGTCATTTATAAATAAAATGTTCTATCCCAAACTGAAATTAGGTGAAACCTAGTGGGGGCGAGCCAGTCCCTGACGTCTAGTATGTCTTGAATACTCCACCAGCGAGATCTCCCTGCAATAATGCCATGCTCTGCTCCTGACTACATGGGAGTTTTGGGTGTACTGTCCACCTTTGTGGCCCTCCTGTTACATTCTCCATGATAAAAAATAGAAAATAAAAATCCATCAGGGATGGTAGGAACTCCTTATAATGGGCACAGCAGCTGTGTAAATCTGGGAACTCAGTGCACAGATCTCACCAACGGAGTCCATGAGAAATATCAGGAACTGTTGGGCAGTTGAACTTTCCAGAATCTGGAGGTTGTGAAGGCACCTGGGAGGGAGTATGGAGTTAGACTTTACCACTTTTTTCTTTAACCCGATAACCCCAACTTTAAATTATTTTCCGACCTAATTAAACTCCAAAAAACAGCTGCATCTACAATTGATGATTGAATTAGCAGTTATGTAGGTGCTGGGGAGGAGTGAAGGGGAAAACTACTCAGTGCCCTTTCTAAGTGACAGTTCTTAGTCTGCTGGGGTTGCTGACATCACATCCAAGATGGTGGCATCCAGCGGCTGGCTCAGAGTTTTTGAGAGGCGTAACCTGCATACAATACAATTAAATACACATATTATCACATGGTAAGATTTCCATTGAAATAAATGGTCTGATAACAGGATCTCTATAAACACCAATATGTGTTTCCACTATAGCCGCGAGAGTCCTGATGAACCCATCCACAGAGGTTTTGGAAGGAGTTCAGGTGACGCTGACATGTGACACCTTGAAGGCCCATTCGGGGGAGATGGAATACATTTGGTACAAGAACAGCAGGTGGCTGGGAAAGACCAATGACAACTCTCTGCAGTTTAACAGTATAAAAAGCAGCGACTCTGGATATTATCATTGCCTGGCCCGTGACAGCCATGACAGCAGCACTTCCCCTTCCGTATCACTGCATGTGTCATGTAAGTTTACTTTAACCCTCCCTTCCTCTTTTTCCTTTGCCTTGCAAATAAGGATTACCATCAATGTATGCGTGCCAAATATCAGTTTAAGTAACTCTTTTTACTCAAAAGGAATGGATAGAATTTTTATTTATTTTTAATTAATTTTTTATTTTATTTTTTGCAGATAGCAAAAGTGTTCTCAAAAGTATTTTTGTCACATCATGCATGTTAATGAACGGGCATGGTGTGATTTACAATATATAAATACATACTGTGATATTTGGGGAATGTGGCACAAATGGCGAGCGCTCAAAGACCAGTCTTGAAGCAACGTTAGCATAAAACAAAACAGTCTTTTATTGCTTCCAGAACAGAAACAAGCTTTTCGTCAGCAATATACAGTCTTTAGCACACCTACTGTATGTGTGATACTCACTCCGATCACCCCTCGTGAGCACTCACACTGCTCTCTCAGCAGTGTGTCCACCAGGTCTCTTAGGTCACCGACCTTCCCCAGCCTGCCCTGTATGTTCCACATGCGTCCAGCACGCACCCGAGTCTGCTCGTGGTCGTGTGCCACTTGCACACCCACACACCACTGGCTTGGCTCGACCCTTGTGTGCCCCCAGCACACACCACCAACTCTCCCTTGCGCTCTGGTCGGTGCTCTTAATGAGGCTGCTCTCAGCCACCTGTTCACTGGCAACACCTGACCTCAGGACTGGAGATTTCACCCACCCAGAACTCTTAATCGCGATCGTACGATAATCGGCAGGTGTATGGGCAGCATGTAAGATCGTAGGACTTTCATCTTCCTAGCACGCTGGAAAACCCGCTGAAAATCGTACGATTTTCGGCGGGTTGGTAGCGTGCTCGTGCTGAGCGTGCACACTGAGCACTTCTGAGCGCGCTGAGCACTTCTAAATTAGCATTTAGGGCCCTGGTGCCATATGACTACCACTTAGGTTTGGAGAGCACCAGTGGCAGCCGTGGTGGGAGGCTGTCCCTCCCTTGGAAGTGATCAATCAACCAGTAAGCTAACCATATATGGAGAGAACATATAAATGCCTTGCAGGAAGTCTTGGGGTAGGAAATGAACCCAGAGAGGTAACGGCACTAATCCACCATGCCGCCTACCGCCAATATAGCTAACAGATGGTCCTTCATACCTGAAGGCAGACAAATATACATAAATCCAATTGGCACATCTGACTGGATAGCCTAAGGGCTCATGTACACAGGAGCCTGGAGCCATACAACGTCAAATTCAAGCAGATTTATCCACCTGGAAGCCACATCTGATGTGTAAATCAATGACTCTAGACTAGTATACACCACTACTTGCATAAACACATGTGTGCATAAAAACATACGCCCCTGGTTACAGACTGTCTATCTAATCATGTATTTTGATGTATGATTTACAGATGCCCCTAGACGGTTGGTCATGTCGTCATTTTGGGAAGCGTCTGGTGCACAGACTGGTATTGTTCAGTGTTCGGTAGATAGTGATCCACCCTCCACGTTGGCCATTTACTATAGAAATATGTTGGTCGGCTCTTCCAATTCCTCGGAATCCTCCAGCCCTAGAATTAAAATTTCCTCTGCTCAAAACTTGCTTAAGGTGGAGATCCATCAGGTCATGCTGGAGGATGAGGGTCAGTATGCTTGCACCGCAATGAATTCCATTGGTCAATCAAGAGCAGCTGTTAACTTCACGGCACAAAGTAAGTGACTTATCGGTAATTTATTTAAATGGTGGTGGCAGTGAGGAGTGTGGAGGGATCACTGAGGTTGTTGAATGCTTAACCTTCTGTTCACCCCAAAGTCAAGTGTGCCAAGTATATGTTTATGTTAACACATCTTGAATTATTGAGCAGATAGTTATAGTATATCTAATGCAATTTTTTGTATGAAGTAATGATGGGTTTACGCTGGCAGAGTTTTGTATGAGCGTTCATGATTCAAAATCTCATCAGAACGTTCAATGCCATCAGAGAGTTGGCAAACGTTTTGGCTTTTGGTTTTGGAATTAATGGAGTTTACCGAACGAAAAACCACATTCACTGTTAGAATTTTGTTCATTGTTTTAAGAAATATTTTCCATCCTGCACCTTTTGATTTTTTGTCACTTTGGTTGAAAATGATCATCAATGTATTCCCCATTATCTATTACAAAATTAATTGTTCCAAAAACAATTTTTTCAAATTAAAATAAATTTGCTTGTATGGCCAGCTCAAGTAGTGGTCATTATCTTCTGTGTCACCAGGGAGATTTTCTCTAACTTTTTGTTCTGGAGACAAAACAGGAAGAAAGCGTGCATTGTTCCAAATGAGAGCATGGTGTTCCTATCAGAGGATATTATATACAATGAGGCATCGAAGTAGATTTAAGGTTTGCTTACTCTTTATGCTTTAAGTTGGTTGTATACAAGTCGTAAGTTCAAAATGGAAAGCCCCCAAGAAATTAAAGCCAAGGTCTTTTCAGATGATAAAACATCACTATGATCATCTTATGCTTTCTTATTTGCTTTAAGCTGCCAGAATCCTGGTCAGCCCATCATCGGCTTTGCGGGAAGGAGAGGCGGTAAATATGAGTTGTATGGTGACCAGTGAAGCCTCGGATGGAGCCAGCTACACGTGGTATAAAAATGGCCATAAATTCATAATCAACTCAAAAACATTGTCATTTGCCAGCGTTACCAGTGAAGACAGAGGATCGTATTACTGCAATGTTGAGAGTCCTCAAGGGAGCAAAAGTTCTCCATCTGTCACCTTGAACATCCTGTGTAAGTAGATACTTAAGGTCTTTTCTGAAATATCCAGCTTGCTGTGTAGATGATAATAAATAGTACTATGCAATGGGGCTGAGGAAGAGGTAAAGCCAAGATTACTGCTTCTCTATTATGTATGACTTCAGGTCATGTGCTGCTATATATTATCAGGCAACTTGTAAACTGTAAATCCTACCATTCAGAAGGCAGCACAAGGGGCCTTCAATGACTTGTGTTCACCTAGAATTCTCTTCTGTGTTTCCCTCTGATCTTGGGTGTTCTCTTTAACGAAAGGGCTTGACTCTTCGGACTGTGGCTAAGCCCAACCTATCCAATGCCTCAGTGGCCGATAAAGTTACTTTCAGGCAAGCAAAAAACGGGCGGAACTTAATTATGTGGGTGGAGTTTAGCTTGGAGAAAAAGCCCTTTATAACATTATAACTGCTTCCAGGATCAGAGGGAGAGAAAGAACAATGGCTTTTTGTTGACACCTTGTGGTTCCCATTTTTATATACATGGTAAACGAGATCAGCTTGGTGGAAATAAGCGTATAAATATGTGTTTTTTATATTTATTGTTTCTACGTATAGTTTGCAGTCCTATATGTGGATCAGTGATGTGCGGTTCCTCTTGTTCCAGGTGAGGCATTCCCCAGCCTCGCCCCAGCACGTCCCGCCATACAGCCGGCCGAAGCCCCGCCCCAACCCGTTCCCCAAGCTAGTGTGAAGGAGGAAGGGAGGAGACAGGGAGGAGCCTTCCTGTAACTCACTTGCTCGTCACTGCTAAGGCATCGAGATCAATGGCCTCAGTGGTTTTTTTTCTCTTTTTTTGATTGGACAGCTTGGACCAAAGGTGCTTTGCCATTGGTCCAAGCCATCCACAGAACTCACGCCTCTAACAAAGAGTAGAGGCTGTGTCAGCTCTTGCCCCACTATGTTAGGTTACACAAGAAGTGGGGAAGCCCGCTGCTGTGTAACCTAACTACCCATCAAAAGCCAGACGCAGTGCTGCCTGCCTTTTTTTCGGCCATAATACTAGGTGAGGCTCTGCCTCACCTCCCTCCCCTGACCGCACGTCCCTGATGTGCATAGGGGCATATTTGCTCATTAGATATATAGGCAATGATTTCTGCTCCTCGGTCCTACATAATGGTTGTACTTAACTGCTCCTCCTCACAATACAATTCCATGAGTACGCGACATGCTGAAAACAATGCCCTCTATATGTAGTTGATATATTATTATAACAGTTTGTTAAGCAGTGAGGTTAAATGAGGTTGAGTCAAATACAGAGGCCCCTCTAATGTTTGATCTACAAACCTCTATATGTAAAAAATATGGAATAAAAATGTAAAAGTACACTCTATGGCCAAAAGTGTGTGGACAGCCCTCCAAATGATGCATTTCAGGTGTTTCCAGTGAAGGGTACGGTTAATGCTACATAATTATTGTCTAAAGTGATTTTTGGAATGACATGCACTACCAACAGAAAAAGTTTTTTTGGGGGGTAGGGGGTTTTTCTGTTCCAGCATGACTGTGCCCCTGTGAAGTAAGCCACCTCCATAAAGGCATTGTTAGATGAGGTTGGTGGGAAGAAACTCAAGTGGCCTTCACAGAGCCCTGACCTTAAGACTACTGAACAGGGCATGAACAGGAACACCAAATGCTTGCCGGGTATTCATCAGTCAAACATTAGTAACTGACCTCAGAAATGTTCTTGTGGCTGAATCCAAAATCTCCCCAGAAGAGTGCAGGCTCAATACCCATTGTTTTGGAATCGGATGTCCAACAATCTCATATGGCTGTGATTGTCTACAAAATGTTGGCCATATAGTTAAAGATATAAATAGTAGAAGAATTCCAAATGTGTGCTCAGCAGAAACACACAATGCTTTTCATTTACAACATGACAATTGCTGGCAGATTGTGCTTCCTGCATTGTAGAAACAGATAGGGTATGTCACCAGCACTCCTTGAAGCATGCACAATGCAATGTCACAAAGAAGGTAACATTTCGGGGGTCAGTTAGGGTCCCTTCATCAGGATCATTATAACATTAAGACAGGGACAATGAGTTGCCCCAAAATGTTGCCTTCTTTGTGACATGATGTGCCTGCATCAATAAATACTTTTTTTATTTTAACACTTAATTCCGGTGTGCTGGTGACATATCTCATCTGTTTGGACTTCAGTGGCGCCATCCACAGCCACTTCAGCGCAGACTGGTAAGGAGTGAGGAGGGATTTGCACTGGTCCTGCATAGTAGAGATGCACATGATTTTTCATGATAGCTACGAGATGCATATAGAATTCTCATTGTCACGTTATGATTGGCCATAAATAGTGTAATAGATGACAGTTTAAATTTACATCTCTCAGGGTACCAAATCACTTTACAATTTCTATATCAATTATGGTTATGTACAAAATATAAAAATATATTTCATGTGAAACTGTGAAGTGTTTTAATATCATTTTATCACTTTAGATGCACCAAAAAATCTGCAAGTAAAGTCATTTTTGGACACAGAGAATGGTAATGTTGCCATCATCCTGGGAACTGTGGACAGTAACCCACCGGCTGAAATGTCTCTATCTAAGGACGGGAAAATGCTAGCTTCTTCCATTGACGGCAGGACACCCAATAAGAGGTTACAAGCCTACATGTTCCCGGACACAATGAGGTTGGAGATCCGCAACATCAAGACAAGTGACCAAGGAACCTATGTCTTTGTGGCCAAAAACAGCCATGGAATGGCCCACGCCTCTGTGGCCTTCACTGTAGAAGGTACTGAAAATCCAGTGAATATATATCAGAGAATCAGATGCAGATACAATTTTGTATGTTCACTTATAACACGGCATATTCCCCCATCCCAACCCTACTCAACACTGTTAACATATTAATCTTACTTCTCACTTGCCAACATTCTCTGAGGCTGGACTCGCATTCAGGAAACCAGGCGGTGTGTAATGATTCGCCACCTGGCTTCCTTATTAGCCTGGAAGCCGGGCAGCGTGTAAAGACTTGCCACCCGGCTTCCTGATAAGCAGGGAAGCCTCCCCCATGCTTCCCGTCACTAGACGACGAGAAAGCATGGAGCCAGCTTTCTTGCCAATCAGGAAGCCAGGCGCTGTGTAATGACGCGGCACCAAGCTTCCTGATTGGCTGGGAAGTCGGTTCCATGCTCCCTCATCATGAGGTGACAAGGGAGCATGAAGACGGCTTCCCGACCAATCAGAAAGCTGGGCGCCGCGCCATTACACGGCGCCAGGCTTCCTGATTGGCCAGCTACCGACAGCGTGTCATTACACAAGTGACGAGAGAGCATGGAGCCGGCTTCCTGATACCGGAAGCATCGGGCTAGGCATTGGAGCATTTGGGCGAGTACGGGTACTTGCCCAAATACTCTGCATCGGCACCGATACCAATACTAGATTCGGTATCAGTGCATCCCTATCTATAACTCAGAGCCTTGTTGTGAACAGACTCTATTGCAAGGAGACTATAAAATCACCAGGACTCCAAATAAATGTGTATAGCAGATCTATTGTGAAGTCAGTGGCACACAACTCAAAAGTATACCGATGTGTCAGGGCCTAGCAGGGTTCCTTCCTCAAGGTGACATAATGACCTTGGTCAGAAACCCTGCAAGGCCCTGAAACATTGATATGCTTTTGACTTGTGTGCCTCTGTCTTCACAATAGACCTGTGATACACATTTATTTGGAGAGCTGGTGATTTCATATTTTTCAATTTGGTCTTGGCAGAGCACCATCCACCACCTCAAGCACCCACTTATTTGAAGGTCTGGTCCATCAGGAGGACAGCTTCATAGTTGGACTTTGTTCAAACTCTGTTACAAACAATGGATTTTCTAAGGTCTATGCATTTTGCGTACTGTATGCTGAGAAATGCAGCAACCTGCATGGCAACGCATTCAATGTGAACAATCCTTTATAATTACCCTTCAGGAAAACTGATCATTTGAGTTTGTCATGTAAAAATACCCAACACTGAAAATCAGCTTGCCAGTGAGCATTGTACATGGACAGCAAGTCAATTCATCTGAACAGTATTACATTATATTTGATATCATCTATGGAAAATTGTATATGAATATATTTGACATAACAATTATTATGTTGTATTGTGTGACTAGGCGCCCGGGTCGTCATCAGCCCCTCTGCAGAAATGAAGGAAGGTGACTCTTTCACATTGACCTGCCATATCCTGGATGGTGGTGAGACTGTGCTTGGTTACACCTGGTATAAGAACAACCGGTGGCTCCAGGAGGGCACTCTGGCCTCTGTATTATATGAGAACATAAGCAGTGATGATGCCGGGTCCTACTCCTGCACAGCCCATAGTACCGGGGGCTCCAAGACCTCTTCACCCGTCTCCATCACTGTGCTGTGTGAGTACTGGGGATGAGTATCTATATAAACCCTAAAATACTAAGCAATGAATGGACACCAGGACAGGAAGTAAGGGGAAATCAACTTTAGAAGGACATAGACAGTTGTAAAAATTGAACACAGTATTTAACTCATACTATCCAAAGCTATTAAAAAGTTTTGCCTGGAGGGCCTCTTTACTTGTTCCAATTGCCTATTTTACTACATCCAACAACCCAACCTGCATCAGACATTAGTAGAAGTGTTATGGGTAACAGTGCTCCTGCTGTGCTTTAATGAGCTGCCGTCAGTCATCAAACAGACGGGGTGGCACAGGTGTGTGTTCATAAAAAAATTTGGAGAGCCATTTGTCCTGCGAAACTGCATGTATGTTCATTCTGTGTGAATAGAGGCAAAACCAAACGTTTTTACTATATTTTTTTCAAAGTCGAATGTAATATTAGGAAAATACCTAATTATGGCCACTAGATGGAGCCGAGGAGCATAGGATAGAAGTAATTATTTCCTATGCTCCTCAGCTCCATCTAGGGGTCATAATGGCTTTGCAATTTTTTTTTACAAATTTGCCCCTAAATTTGTCAGGGTATCAGGGGCCAGGCAGGAGCCAATTTAGGTAGAATCGGCACAGCCAGAGCCAGGAAACTTCAAACAATCAATACGCTAATATATTTAAAGATTTTACCAGCTGCTTTCTTTCAGTTTTATCTACCTGTAATTGAAATGTTACTTTTGGGTTGACTAGGCTTTTGATATCAGTCCCCAAATGCAGTATCCTCTGTTTGTCTTACTGTTTGCTTTGTCTCCTGTCCTGACAGATCCTCCAAGAAACCTCTTAATGACGTCATTCCTGGAGCTACAGGAGAGACAGCTGGCGGTGATATTGTGCCGGGTGGACAGTGTGCCTCCCTCTCGGTTGTCTCTTCTCAAAGATGGGGAAGCAGTATCATCAGACGGATTCGGTGACACCACCCAGCGCATCATATTGTCCCTCACCCATAACACTCTACGACTGGAGATAAAAGATGTGACAATGGAGGACCAGGGGGAATACACGTGTCAAGCTAATAACTCCCTAGGAGCTCCAGAAAAATCCATACCCTTCTCTGTGCAAAGTAAGGTTGGCTTGGATGACAGTCGGCTCTACAAGTTTAAACAGAGTCCCGGCGGCAAAAGTCACCGGGAGTCTGTTTAAACAGCCCCGATGCTGGCGACGTACACTGTACGTCGTCAGTCACGAAGGGGTTAAAGGGAACCTGTCAGCATAGAAATATGAGAGCAGAAATTGCTGACTCAATTAAAGGGTCTGGATGACAGCCCAGGAGTTGGTGCTTTAAATAAAAAATAGCAATGTAAACTCCCAAATTCCCATTCCAAAATAATGTCCATTGCTGTGGAGCTGCTCCCTACCCTTTGTGGCTATAATAACCTCTGCTCTTCTGAGAAGGCTTTCCATAAGATGTGGGGTCTGCATGTGGGAATGTGCACCCATATTGCAGAAAGAGCATTTGTGAGGTCAGGTACTGATGGTGATATGGATGGTATTGACAGACGTGAAGACCTTGCTTGCTATCGGTGTTCCAATTCATTTTTTCCAGAGAACCTCTTTAAATATATTTATATTGATTCCTCTATTTATTTTCATAACATTGCCAACATTACTTCTACACATTTTATAAACTTTTCCAATTCTGTTCTAGCTGCCAGGGTGTCAGTAAGGCCATCAAGTGAGGTGGAAGAAGGCCACTCGGTGAATCTCACGTGCCAGGCTCCCACGACTGAAAATACTACGTATACCTGGTACAAGAACAACAGGTGGCTCCATGAAAGCTCCCAGAAGTATCTGCTGCTGCCCAAAGTGTCCAGTTCAGATACCGGTTCTTATCACTGCTTGGCCAACCACTGGCGAGGAAACAGCGTCTCCCCTCTAGTGGGAATAAGAGTCCTGTGTAAGCATTTTGTTCATTTTGGATACAGTGAGGAAAGGTTGGCGACCCCGTTAGGCGTTTACTGCTATGTGGGGCTCTGTTAGACAGATTTCCCCTCACTTCCCTTCCTGCTGACAACTTTCACAGGACAAGAAGTAAGGGGAACTCCCCAATGGCAACACAGACAGAAAAAAAAATGGTTTCTTTAGAAGGTCGGACGAGGCCTGGGACCTCTGTGAGATTTTCATCTCTGTCATTGTCCCTGTTTTAGATTTCCCCTAACTTCCTGTCTGGTGAAACCACTGACAGCAGGACAGGAAATGAGGGTAAATCTCTCTAATGGAGATATATAGATCCACTTGTTATACAGCGGATAGTAATTGAAGTATCAGATGAGCACAAATCCTCAGCAGGAGAGACAGCCATGCTCCTAAATTCTTTTAAGTTCCAGGAAACTTCACCATCCATTTCCCTTTTTCTCCTCCTCTGGCAGCAACGCAGGCCTCCCACATACTGGAGGCCCCAGGGAAATTCTTCCCACCCTCCAGCCTATGCCAACCACCAGGCCTAGCCTGGGGGCAGCTGGACAGCACTCAGCCCTAATCCATGGCTGGTCTCGACTAGTCTGAGCACATGGCAATTCCCTCCAGTATATGTACCTATTCCAGCATACACCACTGGTTGAGAGAAACCCAGTGATTGGCTGCTGTACTGTACATACACTACAGTGCCTCTCATTGGCTGTCCCACAATTTAGCAAAGTCACACTCCGCCCAGGGGGGTACAGTCAATGCCAGACACCTGGAATTAACCAGATAAATGCCAACTATAATCCAGCCAGGCTGACTACAGCCCTAGCAATCACTAAATGTGTAGTAGCCACCTCACAGAAGGTGATGGTGCTACAAGCAAATATATAAATATGCTGTATAGCTGACCTATATATTGTATTGAAAGTCATGCTATAATATAACAGTGCGGCTCATGCAACTTACCCATCATCTGTCTTTACGTTGAGTTGTTGCACGAGCTTGCACTTAGCTGCCAATTGAAACTTGACATAATGATCTTAATATTATTAAAATTGGAAACATTTGTACTATTTGGCAGATGGTCCTCGGAACCCGGTACTAACGTCATACCTGGAAACACAAGGAAGCGGGAGAGCCATTATTATGTGCCAGGCTGACAGTGACCCCCCATCCACCATTTTACTCATCCGCAATGATATCCAACTGGGCACCTCGGCACTAACACTGGTAGATCGAGGAGACAAGTACTGGTCTTCTGCCTCCTACAACTACCTGAGGCTGGTGATCAGAGACATCACTGCCGAGGATTCTGGGAGCTACATCTGCATTGTTAGTAACACATTGGGTACCACAAGGTCATCAATACACCTCAATACTATGGGTAAGTGGCCTCTTTGTAAAAAAAATTCCAAGAGGTTGTCATATGTTTTGCTCCAGAAGAAGTTTGAGGTCAGCAGTTATTTTTTGCTGTTGTCCCATCAATAGCAAACTTTTGTATGGCTTCCCTTTTATACAAAAATGGCTTTTTGTCTCAGTGGGGTGATATTTTGTGGTTTTGGGGTTTTCACATCCCCTGTGCATGTTGTTTAAAGTAATTATTCAAAATTTGCCCCCCATAGACTTCAATAGGATTCCCAAATCCTACTCTACTGTAAAGAAGATGGCTTCAAAATCTAGTAATGATGTTTGCTGAAGCTGGAAACAGCTCCATGCGTGTTCAATGGAGAGCTCCATATGTTATGCTGTGTCTGTGCTATATGCAGGAGATCCGGATGTTTTGTCAACCATGGTGGCATAAACATGGACCATGGACATTGATAGAAACATGATCAATTACTCTGTAAAATTTCCTTTCCCATACTAATGTTTCAAAACAAACAGACTTCAACTCCGTTATTTACAGGGAGCACTCTAATATTAAAGGACACCTATGGAAAAATGATATGGAAGCTGCCATTTCTGACTCCCTTCTGAAAATGCTAGTTGCCAGGCTGCCTTGATGATCCAGTGACTTCAATACTTTCTGACAAGGAGAAGAGTGAGAGACGCTGTGATCTGTGATAGTAAATTTTCCGTGGTTACATTATGGGTTTCTTCTGTGGGGCTCGATTGCTTGGTAGTGGCTGCACTTGCACCTACAGGGACCACACAGAGGGCAGGAGGGCGCCTTGGAGAAATTAATTATAACAAAAAAATGGAGGTGCTACGAAATGAAAAAGAGTCCAAAAGCGTTTATATTGGTAACAATAAAAGCGTCAATATTAGACATGTAAGCTGCGGAAAAATTCGGTTCTGATATTTCCTTATTTCGGGATTCGGATCCGAAAATTCAATACGGTTGGGGGTTCGGACTCAGACAAAATCCAAATTTTCGTTAGTTTTGGATGAGTTTACGAATACTTATTGTGAATACCACAGAAAACCATCTACAGATATTCATACTAAAGCATTCAGGAGCTCCTGAATGCCATTCGGGTCTGGGAGCTCAGCTTTAGTAATATATGCATATGGCTCCCAGACCCGAATGGCATTCGGGAGCTCCTGCATGCAATTCTGAATTTCGGATCCAGAATGCCATTCAGGTATTGATGAAGGGGGGGAGGGACTGTGTTGGCCACCGAAATGCGTTGGCACTTTGATGCTTTTATTACATAGTTACATAGTATTTGAGGCAGTGGCGTAACAACCGGGGGGGCGGGGGGCGCAGGACTGAGGGGGGGCGCCGTCACGACTCCCGCTAAACGAAGCCCCTGGCTCCCTCTCTCTGACACGATCACCCGACTCTGTCATCGGGCGGCCGCTCGCTCCTCCGAGGCCACTGCGAGCGGCCCTCTACAGTGCCTGATTAGAGGGCGCGTCTGCCTGATC